TTGCTTGAGCTTAGTGGAAAAGGTTTGTCAGTTGAGTGAAGATGCTTCAACTACTTCACTGATGCTGCTAGGATTATTAATTAGGCTTCTGAATTTGGCCCTGCTCCTTTCCTGGTCACCGTGATGTGTCATTGAAACAGGATCATTAAAATAAGTGATGTGTGTTGTGATTTCATTAGTGTCATCAATAATGTATTACGCTTTCCTTTTAGTAGGTTCTTTGTGTTGTGTGTAGGTCAGGATGACTGTATGCATTACATTTATAACATACAAATTGTTACTGATGAGGGAAGATAGGCATGAGGGTGGAATTAATGTTATTTTAAACAGGATGACTACGAAAATGAGTTCAATTAAATAATATTTTAATTAGGTCTGATGTTTGTACATGCCATACTGAGGTACATGCTATGTGTATGCAAATAGGATGGTGATTTATTGAATGAATAACACAGCCCATTCTTTCTGCAAGAACACTTTTCTTCAGGTGGGTGTAAGACCAGGAGTAGTTCACTAAGGAATATAATTTCTGGGGGTGAAAAAGAACAGACACTTGACATGGAAACTCTTCAAGTGTATTGTTTTTCTTTGTTTACATTTTTTTCCTTGCCAGACATGTGCCTTTCGAGTACCTAGTGGCCCATCCCCAGTCTGCCCTAATCTGAAGAATAATTGAGAAACAGAGACATATTTGGTACCCTGATGCCAAATAGATTGTTGAAATCTTACCTATGTTTAACTGAGGTTCAATTTTGGTCACATTACATGGGAATACAAAGAGTTTTGGCTTAGAAACTTCCATTGGAGGCACTGATCTAATCAAAATATTTTCAAAACAAAGGAAGTATAGTAGTTTTGGTACAATAGTAGTTTTGCTTCTCTGGAGTGATTCTGTAGTACATAGGGTTTTTGACTGAATGTATAAGAAAGTTCTCAGAAATAAAAAAATATAAAAACATGGCTGAATTTTGTTCTTCTTGTCCATTTGAATATTAAAATTAAAGTAATATGAATGTAATGTTTTGGAAGAGGGCTCCAAATGCAGAAATTTATTTTGTACAAGCAGTCAGCTGACTGGGTTTTAGTACAAGAAGAGAACTAGGAAAAGATGGGCTATGCCTGAAAATCACTATGAGAAATTATACTTCTCATAAAAATTTAAAGAAGGAATCTTTGTTATCCTCAATTTGTTTTAAGATAGAGCAATATATCAAGGTGAAAAGCTTTTATTATAATAAAGATCAGCAACCTAAGGTATATCAGCAACTACACAAAATGAAAGTTTTTCTTATATTATTAAGAAAAATTCTATTTGCTATTTTCCAACTAAAATCTCAGCACTTGCAATTTCATGCTGATTTGTATCCAATTTGGGTAGAAATGGATATGAGTGTTTATCTTACATGATAGCTTGCCACAGCCTACTACTTGAACCATGCAGCATATGGAAAATGTGTTTAGCTCCTTGTAGAGTTTCACAAACAAAAAAAAGATCCATTTCTATTCATGTGGTTTGTTTACAGTCATTTCAAAAATATGTTACTGTGCTTCTTCCTCATTAGAAAAAGTAAATGTTGGCACACAACAGACTCCATTGCATTGGTCTTTGGGAGATATATGTACCACTTTCCAGTTAATGACAAAAATAAAAAGTAATCATACTTCTGTGCTCTCAACCTAAACATTCTTTTTAGGATGTATTTGAATTCTTATACATTAGTTCTCTTCTAGATATTTTATATACATATTAAAGCCTGCGCTCAAGCTTAAATGAATTGTCATTGATGGATTAATCCTGTAACCTTTCTGAGCATATTTTATTAATATCTTATCTTTAAATATAATGTTAATAATAGTTAACATTTAATAACCACAGAGTGTTAGGTAGAAATGTATTTCAGGCCAGTGGGTTTTGAAAATATCGAAAAGTCACTCTAACAGCCTGAAAATCATTAAACACGCTCCCCATAATGTGTCAATTGCACTGGCAAGCTCACTAAGAGGCAGTTCTGGGTGACAGAGATGATAATGTTTTTGATTGTTGGCATGCTGAGCAATATGCCTTGAAGGAATGAAAGTATTCAGTAGAGCTTTTGAAAATATCTATTACGTTTGTACGTTCTGAAAATATGTTTTCAAAAAATGATTTACAATTAAACATAAGATGGATAAAAGAGAGGGAGTAATTCAAAAGTATAAATATTCCCTGGCTAGCATGACTCAGTGGATTGAGCGCGGGCCTGTGAACCAAAGGATCACAGTTCGATTCCCAGTCAGGGCACATGCCTGGGTTGCAGGCCAGTTCCCAGCAGGGGATGTACGAGAGGCAACCATACACTGATATTTTCTCCCCCTCTCTTTCCCTTCCCCTCTAAAGATAAATAAATAAAATCTTTTTTTAAAGTATAAATATTATGAAAACTTATTAAATAGTTATTAAACTAAATTTTTATTGGTCAGTATATGTCAACTACAAAGAAATACTTTTTAAAAGATTGAATGACTAAAATATATTTTAAACATTTATTCTTGAAATACCTTAAACTTTAAACCATTTTTGTTATTGTGGGGGTGACTACTTCACGAGAGTCCCCCCCCCCGCCCGGTGCCACAGACACACGTGAGTGAATAATGACCAAGACAAAATGAGATCCGTTTGGGGAGGCGGAGTGGACTGTGGCCAGTTTCTCAGTGGAGACAAAGGCCAGCAGCAGCCAGTTTCTCTGAGGAGAAAAAGGCCCCGAGCACCCTCTTCCAATCGCCTTTTATTGGATTAAAATACACAGGAATACAGGGCAGCAAGGATCAAACAGTAGATAACATTTTAAAGAAATCTGAGGGCTTCAGAGTCAGTGTTTGTCAGGAAGAGAGTTGCAGAAACTTTGGGAGACATACTCATTTCCTCTCGGACCCTTATCATATGAATGAAAGCACTCTTAGCAGAGCAGATTTCACGGGTTAATCAGCAAGTCTTTGTGATGCCAGATTTCCCCCCAGGACATGCTCTAGCAAGGCAAGGAGCTGCACCTCTCCCCAACAGGTATTCAGGCTTAAGGGGATTAGAGCCAGGAAGCACTTCTCCCAGAAGACATGGGGACTCGGGCTACGTCAAAGCCAGGGAGGTGAGAGTCCGTTGCTCCTTATTACAGCCCCCCGAGTCCTTCCGTGAAGGTCTCCCAAGTGATTGAGTCTGGCTTAGGTTGCCCCCCACTGTGAGGGGTCTTATCGGTCATTGACTTCCAACCAAGCTCTGGGAGCAGGGAGAGGAACTGAGGCAGCATTTGCTACCAGAGACAGGCTTTGTCTCCTGCGGCTGGCGTTCGAAAGGTCGTCTCTCACCCTTAGCCACAAGGGGTAGAGATACAATTCCTAGAACTAGGCAGAGCAGTCTACTACATGTTATTATATGTTATATATATGTATATATATAATTGATTTTATATATATATATAATTGATTTTATTGGGGTTATATTGGTTAATTAAATATGATTTAAGTGTATAATCCACACTTATGAGAAGATGGTATTTTAAATGTCAAATATATACAAAGAAGATAGAATAGTATAATGAATTTTATTATCCCATTTTAACAGTTATTAACTAATGGTCAGTCTTGTTCCGCCTATACTGTCCACAGTTCTACCTTCCATTTCCTCTCAAATATTTTGGAGGAAATCCCAGACATGATCATCTTTCATTTATAAATATTACTATGTGTATTTCTAGAAGACAAGGACCCTCTTTTATAAACATACTGATACCATCATCACACCTAAAATGCAAACAATTCTTTAGTGTTAGCAAATCTTCAGTATTCCATTTTGCATTACTACTCATTTTTTAGTTTGTTTCAATTAAAGCCTAGTAAAGCCTACACTTTGTGACTGGTTGATGTTTCTTTAAGTCTAAAGCAGAAGTTCTCAATCAGGGGTCAATTTCACCCCATAAAAGGTAATTTTACCAATCTGGAGACATTTGCAACTTCTACAATTTCTGTGGACTAAATTTTTGTCTGTTTAAAAATATTTTATATAATTTTATATTTTCAAAATTATATAATATTTGGGAGATGTATATTTTATATATGGATATATATTTTAGGGAGAGAAAAAGAAAGAGAGAGTTAAGATCCTTATCTGATGTGATGGTAGTTGAAGGCTGGGCCTTTGGGTGGTAATTAGGTTAGGTGAGATCATGTGTGGGGCCCTTGTGCTGAGACTAATGCCCTTATAAAAAGAGAAGACACAAGGAGCTCTGTCTGCGTGCATGTACCAACCCAGATCATGTGAGACTACAACAGGAGGAGGCCTCTCGCCAAACCTCCTGGTGATCTGGACTATGCTGGCACTCTGATCTCAGGCCTGTAGCATTCAGAACTCTGAGAAGTCTATGCTGTTCCATTAGAGTAGCCCACACTGACTGAGACAATTACTGGTGTATAGTGGTTGGAGCCCAAGGATACTGCTAAACACCCTACAGTGTACAGGACAGCTGCCACAAGAAAATTATCCAGCCTCAAATGTCCATAGCACAAGGTAAGAAACCCTGGTCTAGAGGTCTGTCCTTCACCTGTTTTTATTATAATGTATTCATTTAATAAACTACATCATTAATTCTGTAGTTCCCCACAGTCTACATTTTGCTGATAATACATCATGGTTTCATTTAAGATATTTTGGTGTCCCTTGTATTTATTAGCAATTAGATTTAGAAGCTTCATCAGATTCACATTTTTAGCAAAACTATTTTATTTTATAAATAGTGTAGTGTCCTTCCATCAGGAAACACATAATGTCTGATTCTCTCATCACTATTGGAAATTTTGATGACTGATGTCTATCTACATTAATTTCTTAGATGTTGAAAAGTGGTATTATAATTTTATTACTTCTTTATCTATTGCAAATATCACCATTTCTTGGAAATATTGATTATAATGTTTGATATGAAAATAGCATTGTACATAAATCACTTACATATTTCATAAATATTTTTTAGAAACATCCTGTATCACCTTGATGACAAGACAAGTCAGTTTTCGATACTCCTGGAAGCGTGGGAGCACCGCCAGCCCCTTGCATCCAATGAGACCTTTCGAGAAGCTCTGTCAAAGGTGTTGCACAGCATTAATTCAGCTCAGGGTCACTTCAAAGCAGGACTTAACGTGTTCGACAGTGTCTTGGATGGAAATAACTGAGAAAAATCTCAGCATTTTTAAAAGGTTGCTTACAATTTTCCAAACAAAAGCTCTAATTTGATCGGATTTTCTGGCATTGAAGTTTTTTCCCCTCAATGACTTTTTACACAAATCTGAAGATGACATTATTACATTGTATTTTAATGGACATACAAAAAGAGCATTTTGCACATTTAATATTTTTCTTATATCTACATTTCTGAATATGTAAAAGCAGTTATTGAAATAATACTTAAGATTTATGTATGAAAAAGAAATCTACTGTATTTTTATATATATAAAATATTGGGGGGAAATGTTCCGAGAAGTTTTGGACAATCTTCACTCCTATGGATAAAGCCCATAGGAACAGAAGTTGTGTCTTATATTAGAGCCTTTAATGTCCTACTTTCTGTAATAGAAAAGGAGGGTTGATATGGTTTCAGCATAACTTCATTATTAAGTATTCAATATGAAGAACTCACGTATTTTGACTGAGTGATTGGTTGACCAAAACCACTTTGAATGTTTTTATTTTATGAAATGAAGTGCCTGTTCGTACACAACTAGATGTAGTAATACACTGGTTATGAAATTGTATTTTTTAAAGTATTAATGAAAAGAGAGCCATAAACATTCCAGGGAAAGATCTTCAGGTAGCTGCACAGAGCAATTTAAATGCAAATTTTCCCTAACAACTTAAAAGGTGACAAGCTTTGAAATCTCTAATTTGCCTCAGTTGATTTTGTAAAAAATTCAGAAGTGATATATGCCTTATGAGGGATAAATTTTTTATTTCTCTGTGTGTTGTTTCTGTTAGAAGCTCTAAAACAGACTCCTCTAAAATGAAAGCATCTTGCATTCTTTGAAAACCCAAATATCTTAAAAAGCATTAAATTGCTATTTTGCCACCAACAAAAAGGACGTACTATGATAGAAAAAGTTGTTTTGATCAATGAAAAAAGTTCCTTAATTCTATGAGGAAACTTTTGATATGTTTTTCTTCCTTACCCATAGTTCTGACAAAGATGAAAATAGAGATAATATTCATGATCCTAATTTTATGTAGAAAAAAAACAGTGTTACTGTATGAATCAGTCTTTCCCACACTCCAATTCTTTCCTCATGTGAAAAATGAAACTTTTCATACTGACATTGTCATTGACTGGCCCTGACATCCATTATTCCCCGAAACCCCAGACTTCTGTAGGTGACAGTTTAAACTTTTAGCTTGCCGTTAGAAAATGATTTGAATTTTTTTCTTCTGATATTGGATAAAGCAAATCCCCTGAGGAGACATCTTCAGAATATTTCATGTGATTTTCTTTCTCTACTCAACAAACACACTTTCCCATTATACACGGCTGCAATATACATTGCAGACAGCGCCTGTGTGTCTTAAGTCTTTGCTTTTTATGGATGAGCATAAACCTAATCTTAGTTTAAAAGAAACCTAAGTTGAGGGGAAAGAATTAATCAGTATTGATTAATTGATTTATAAAGCTCAGCTGTTCCTACCCTAAGTAATGTTTTTGTGCTCAAGGCAAAGAAGAAAACAGAGGCAATTAGCTGGATAATTCGAGCAGTAATCCATTCATTTGATTGCTTGTGTGCGTATATTTTTACATGAGAAATTAAACTACCTTTTTTAAAAAAAAGCAATATACTTGTTTGTTTGAAAGTATTTGCTGTGTCGAGGAGTTTCTACAGGAAAGGGCTAAAAGGGCAGGCAGCTGCACACCTCGACGTCCTCCCCCTCTTGCTGTCCGGAAACCAACAGCAGAAAAGAGGTGAGAATAGGTGGAGGGACAGGGGTGGGGCCCAGTAAGGGGATGCTGTGTTTACCAAAGGATCTTCAATACTCAGTCAAGCTTTAAGGTGTGCACCGCAGTTCTTCATTTGAAGTTGAATTTAAAGCAAAGATAAATAATGATCAGTTTGATAGTTGATCATTTTAGAACAAAATCCTAAGCAAATTCACACCTTTAGGCTGTAAGAGCATTGAAAGCACAAAATATTTTTGTTTGTGCATTTTGTTTAATGATTCTGTACACAGGTAAACCACATTGCACAGATAAAAATCCAAATATTATGTATTCTGCACTTCTGAATTATATGCTATTTGATATATTAGAACTGAAGTTCACTCTGGAATAACATGTTTCCTCAGTCTATTTGAGAGATTATGTGAAGAAATGGAATTATAATTAGAACAGATGTCCACCAGTTTTACAGGGGCTGCTCTGTATCTTTTGACTGCAACAAAATTCTTTAACTGAGAGCTATACTGCCGAGGTCTGATTACTTCAGGTTCCTCCAAATTTCTGTAATTTTAATTATTTTCCCATCGATCCAGGTACATAAAATCCTTTGCAAGTTAACAAGTGTTTTTGGTGAATTGGTAGTAGGTTTTAATTCTTGATGAGATATCTAGGTGCCTGTTAATTCTCACAATCCTTCATGCATAGACTTGTGTCAAGATACAATAAGCCATAAATGCCAAGAGAATGTGACAAGCGTGCACCACTGGAACTTGGGTTCAAGAAGGGTACATTTGGGATGCTACCCTTTGTGGAAGAGCATATATTCTGGAGTTAAAAGGAAGCCTAAGAAACATTCAGATCTAAGCCCTAAGGTGTTACCTTCAGCCAGGAAAAGCATCATCACCCCATCAGGTGCAGTAACTGTAGCCAAAGTAATTAAGAAACTTGGATATAGTCACATATTTAGCTCATAGCAAAAAGCCCTACTGGAATTTAAGCCTCTCTGCTTTGTCATGCAGTAAATCCAGCTCTCTCTGAGATGCTAAGGTTATAAACACTCTTTTCCAGCAATCCTATAACATGAGCCATTCTATCAAACACTTTGTGAACTGGAATCACTGCTTTAATTAAGGTCTAGCTCATCCATTGTTTATACCTGACAAACAAAACTTTCCCAGGGAATCCACATAAAGGACTGGGTACTCAGGAGGAAGTAAGTGGAGAGGGTTTCTACACGACGCCAGAAGTATGAAGGAGGGTATTGAGTTAAATGCTTTTATGAAAGCATATTTTAGATCTATATTAAATCAACAACCTAGCCCTAGCTGATGTGGCTCAGTGGATTGAGCACCGGACTATGAACCAAAGGGTTGCCAGTTCCATTCCCAGTCAGGACACATGCCTGGGTTGTGGGCCAGGTCTCCAGTAGGGGGTGCTCAAGTTGCAACCACACATTGATGTTTCCCTCTTTCCCTTCCTTCCCCTCTTTAAAAATAAATAAATAGAATCTTTAAGAAAATAAATCAATCAGTAATCTGAATTAGTGTTTCTCGAAATGTGGATTTTGGAATGTGAGAACTAGTAATTTTCATCTTCAGAAGGATTTCCCAGGTGACCAATTATGAACTCTGACGTTTAAAATTTTTCAATCTGCATTACTTGCCAACATATCTTTTTAAAAAAAGTCACACTAACAAGAGGTACCTGAAGCCTTGCTATTAAATGAAAGAAAATAAAACTCACCATTGTATCTCTCAAGAAAGGATGCAGATAGCTAACAGCTGTGCCTGCTACATATCAGGCAATGTTTGCATGTTTTTGTTAATTGAATTCCCACAACAAGCTTTTTTTTTAATGTGGAAACTTAGTTGAGTGGCCAAAAGTTCTACAACTAATTAAAGCATCTGAGATATGTTCCTCTGATAGCAAGTCCTCCGGTATCAAGTCCTGTGTTCATCACACTGAGTGCTATGGAAAACAATGGAGAGATTATTCAGTTATAGAAAGTAATAAACTTGAGAATTTAATGTATTTCTGCATAATTAATGAGACTGTTGTTTGTTTGACACTGCACTGGTTTAATGAAGAAGTTTGAAGAAACAAATTGCATCATTCCTTATGATGGTGGCCCACCCACCCCAACAATGGTGTACATATGTAGATAAGTTAGGTGATATCTATAAGAGCATTAAAAATCAATGTACCATTGTAGAATATCACTACTCCCAGATGTAAAATAGTAAAAAAAGAACACAACCCACATGTCTGAATTTCCTCCTGAAAATGCCTATGTAATTTCACTGGGAATAATAAAATGAGCAGATGCTTAGATTTACAACCACAGTTTTATAACATCCTTGAAAACTTAGAATAACTAATTGACATCTTAAGCTAAATAAATATGGAACATACCGTACATTCCCCCATTGGAAAGATAAATATTATAAAAAGAAAATAAACTATGATTTATTACCATCTGCCTAATAATGAATCAGCATCTTTGCCTCAAATGAAAAGCTATTATTACACAATAAATTGATAGATTTAGCTAAAATATTCTCAGAGACACGGTGTGGTATGGGTAATTAATTAACACACAAAGTAAGCTTTCTCTGAGGATAGCACATTGTCATATTTTTGGTTTAATGGGCTATTTAGCTGTGTTTGGTCACACATTCTCTTAATAGAGAGGAATTATTTTTGATTGCTAATCCATGTGTTGAGAGGAAGCGAAATGGGTCTACATATTCCAATAAATGTATCGACAACTTAATAGCTCCATGGTCAGAGCACGGAGGAAGCCCGGTGGGAAAAACCAAAGAATGTGGTGTTTGAGAAAATGGTTTCTGTCCAGCTGTAGTAGTGAATCTTTATTTCTTCCATATGTTTAAATAGCTAGCTTTTAAAAATCCCCATTAGGATCTGCTATTCTGATAAACCTTAAAAAACTTCAGAGTTCTAAGCACTCTATTAAGTGCAAATATTTTTAGTTAAGTGGTTTGTTTATGCAATTCAAATTTTGAAGTGATAAGAATTTAAAAGGAGAGTTGCAAAAAACCTGTTTTTGAATTCAACTGACTTTGGTCACCATATCCACTTAACTTTCTGTTTTCTCTTCTAGTTATACTTTAGCAGTGAGATTAGGATTTTTCTTTTTTACCTCAAAAAAGTAATTTTAAGACCTATTTGACTCAATATGCATTTTTCTGTAAATCAGACAGAATCTCATTTCCATGATATGTTTTCATGATTCTTTGAGGGTGTGTACTGGAGAGCCTTTAACATCCCTAGGACTGCCAGGAGTCTTGAGGCCTTGCTCATTGTGAGATGACATATTTCTTAAAGACATTTATAATCTGATATTCCGATTGTATCAAATTTACAAAGCTAGGGATTAAATTGAAGCACTTTCAGGTAGCATTCAAGAAAGAGAAGCTGCTTCACATTGGAACATTTCTGCTTAGCTTATTTTCTCTTTGAAGTATATAGTTATATAGCTTTCTGTAACCAAAATGGTAATTTTGATATTTTCAGCCAAAATACAATGATTAAAACCAAAGAAATGTATGGATACTCTAATTTCTTAAGAGGATTCTGTCAAGAATTAACTCAGGAGCAGTCAGTTCAGTGCCCACCTCTAGACAAAGCTTGGCTGAGTGGGGACAGAGCCTGACAGTGTTCCGTCTAATTCATGTGACACCTTGAGCCAATAAGCACTGAAGTAGCTTTTCTCAGAGGGAGACAGATTCTATTTTCCAGGGGCTAATTATTATGCACCACCTCAGTCCCCAGAGGACTACACAAGTGCCTGCACTCTACCATATGTCATGTGCTATAATCCAACAAGCTCAAGAGATTAATATACAGTCATTACTATGAATTATTACGTTGCATTGAAGTTAATGTAGGTCTTTTGTTCTAATTAAAGTGTAAACTTGACATCTGAAAGAAGTCTTTTAACTAGGGAAGTGCTGTTAATGTCTCTATTTTAATGAACTACATATATTTTTCAATCACAATGTGTAATTTTTTAATTATCTAGACTGCTCACTAAGTAAAACTCTCCAACTTCTTCAAAAATTTTTTACTGAGTATGTTGCAATGCTGAAGAACCCTGCTTGGAGTGTGTTTTACCTTTTTTAATTCTTAGCCATTGTTGAATCATGTTTTTAGTATATGTAGTAGTGTTTTATTAATATTAATAATTAATAATTATTTGTTTTCCTTTATATCAAGCTGCTGCACATAGACTGCCTTATTTTGAAAGTCAGAAAAATGCAATTTCTCTATAAAGACAATTTTATCACGTCTGTTTAACAAGAAACAAACAAAACATTTTACTACACCACTGGAAATTGTCTGCAGGAAACAAAATGTCCAGATGGTTAAGGGTAGCTCACATAATTATATTCCAAAGATGTTATAAATAATTCCTTTTAGAAGCTGAGATAGGACTATTAGTCACTATTAGGTGACTAAGTATTTACATTTTACGCAGAAACTTTTAATGGCAAATATATCCCCTGCATTTTAACTTGCTACTTGAAAAATATGAATTGAATTGTATTCTGAAAAAGTTTTCTAGAACATTTTGAAAGGCTAATTTGTTTTATAGACATGTAAAATTATCATTTTGAAAATAGTTTCATATATGTGATTGTGATGTTAATATGTACTATGCATTTTTCAAGTCATATCAGTGTAACAATATTTAGTTACATAAAATTATATAATACATAAAATGTCTCAGTTGCATAACAATAAAAAAGAGCTATAAAATAATGCAAATGTTAGAAGATTTATAAATTAACTTGGCATAAAATTTGGAGGGCAATATCTCCAATTAAATTTTCTCTGATTAAGAGCAAATATATCTGAAAAGTATCTTTGTGACTAAATTGCCCTCAACTGTTACAGTGTGAAATATTGTTCAAAATAATTTGATTATTATCTGTGACTCAGAAATCCTTTCATAGATAATTTGATATTATCCATGACTTAGCAAATTTCATTGTAAAGAAATTTTAATGGTCATTGTCTTTGTTGTGGTTGATTTTTAATGACATTGATTTAGAGGCATGTGTCTATGTTTTGCAATTACTGTATCAAGTTGAATGTCTAATCTCTATAATGTGTGGGTGTCCATCAGGAATTTGGTGTTTTCTATATTTAGCCTAAGTGTGATCTCACCGATTTGATAATGTTTTATCAATACATATTACTCAAATGACTCAGTATGAACTTACTTGGGAAAGTATGTTGTGATTTGGAGTGACCCAAATGGGATTGAAATAATAAATTGAGAATCCAAGTGAACATTTTATATTTCACTTACTTAAATATCTGCACATAATTTAAAACATAGTATTATGGAATGAAGGCATCTCTTAAGGAATATGTTCTAATTCATAAATGCAATGAGTATGTACAATAAAATGGTAATATTTAAAACACCCACTTAAAATATTAAATGTATATGAAAATCATTGCTATTCTGTGTTTTGTTAAAAGATATACAACATTTTAGATATGCAAAATTAATAAGTTATTAACATGCATTATTATTTATGTAACATTTATTACACCTAAACAAGAATAAGTCTTGTTCAGAAAACATCCTATAATATTTGTCTTATTTTTCTTCTTTGCCTTGCAGTTTTTTCTCAAACGTGCATTGCTCATTTCTTTCCTCTATTATTCTCCTGCCTTTATGTCTTTTCTTGCCAGTGTGGGCAGTGGGTACGTGTGTACTTCTTGTGGAATTCTTATTAATTTTCTGGATTAAAAATAAAATCCTCAAAGTAACATAAAATCCTAATAAGATGGTCTGATTCTGCAGCCCACAGTTATAATCTGACTTTTAAATGACTCAATTGTATGAGCAGTTTTTTTCTTCTCTTCTCCTTCAGCTATACTATTCTTGTAAAGGCAGAGGCATTCTTACAAGGCATTTTCTGACATCCTAAATGCTCACAGATATAATTTCGGTGCAGTTACATTTCTTGACCAATTTACTTTTTTTAAAAATTTCTCCCCTATCTTGGCAAATACACCAAACTCTCTAACCAAAAGTAAGGATCATACTTCATACTTTCCTTACTCTCCACATCCAATTTATCAGCAAATGGCTCTACTGCCCCTTTCTCTATCTCCTGGGTGCCATCTACTCAATGCCCACATCTTCTCATCCCTTCATTGTACTCAGCATTGTAACTCTTTCAAGCAAAGGGGATTTTAAAACAGTAAAATAATCATACAAGTACTGAAAAAGCTAGTAACACAAAAACGTGAAGGTACTGTTTCTCAGAGATCTGTAGCTGCAGTCAACTGCCCCTGGCCTTAGGGTGGGAGGAGCACGGAGCTGGGAAATCTGTGATAACCCAGGAGCCAGCATTCCACTGACACTCCTGGAAACTTGGCTGCTGCTGGCGGACCGCTGCCCAAAGGGCTTAAAGAACCAGGACAGGGAAATCAGAAGTCTGGGAACCTAGTTCTACCTCCCCTACAAGAAGCAGTAACAACAGCAATAAAAACCCAAATCTTCCTCACTTGTTGACCTTTATAAACTAGAGACAACCCAAATATCTATCAACTGTTGTAATGCATACAATGCATTAATACTCAGATATAAAAAAGTGAGAAATGATATCTATACTAATGCAAATGAACCTCAAGAGCATTATGCTAAACAAAACAAGCTGTATATGGAAGGCTAGTTCCCTGTGGCATTTCTACACTTTTGTGATAGCTTTGGTTGAGGACACTCTTTTCAAGGATGTTTGATATTCAGAATCCTTAGAAGCAAGACATAGTGTCTTCATCCAGATCAAAGGGCAGATTTGTTTTCTCACCCATGTTTTAAAAAAACAAAACAAAACATTGTCTCTTGCTTTGGGCAAAGTTTGAGTAGAATTTGCTAACAGCTTATTTAAAAGATTGGAGAAATCCTAAATTCAGGGTGGCTCAGATCTTAACAGATCCACTCATGTGCAACACTTTCCTGGGCCCAGCTTCACACCACCCCCGTGGGGCTGGGGGGCAACTGAATGGATGAGAACATGAGGCTTACACTGCCTGTTGTGCTGTATATAATAAATTTTCAAAATTCAGTTGGGGCATTGTCTCCTTACCACTTGAATCTATGGGTGTATGACAAGTCAATCCTGCAGCTTTTGCCGCTGTGCCGTTGCTTAGAAACTGCTTCACAATTTTATCATGCAATATTGCGTGATATATGGGCAAATATATAAAAGGCAAATCTATAGTGACTGTACTGGAACAGAGGATGCAAAAGACTAGATGTTAAGATAAGAGATTTATTGCAAAATGTGCAAGGGAGCAAGTGTGGAGGTCATGACCATGTTCCATATCTTGAGTGTAATGGTGGTCATGCAATTGTGTAAGTCTGTCAAGACTTCATCAAATGCATATTTTAAATTGGATTTATATTAAAATTTCAGTTAGTAAAGCTGATTAAACACAAAAAGCAAGAGTCTGTAAGAAAGAACAGAAAAACTTAGGGAGGAAACTAACAAAAATAATGAAGAATAATTTGGTAAAATGAGAGTGCATTCACTTTAAAGTCCTATTGATTTCCCAGCAAAAAGAATAAACATTTTATCATCACAGAAATGTAAAATTTTAAAGCACTAAGTTTAGATAATCCTAAAAGAGTCCCAGAAAAGGAAACAAAACAAAGCACAGTATTTTTTTAAAACAGGTTCTCTACAAATAAGTAATAGACTAGCTCATTGGCTTTCATCAATGACTCCTGCAAAGCTTCAAGAAAAAATAATTTTATCCTGTAATTCTATGAGCAAATAACTCTTAATGTGTTATATTTACATTCTACAGATAAACAGAAATAATAGGACACCTATCTGTCTATCAAGATATTTATTATAAAGAATTGGCTCATGTAACTATGGAGGCTGAGAAGTGCCATGATCTGCCTTCTGCAAGGTACAGGCCTAGGACAGTTGGTGGTTTATATAGAAGGCTTGTGAGCTGGGAGCTAATTGTATTGATTCTAGTTTTAGTCTAAAGCTTGAGCACTAGGAGCACAAAGGGTGTGAGAAGGTTGAAGTCTCAGCCCCACAGGCAGGCAGAGTGATTTCAACCTTCCTCTGTCTTTTTGTTCTTTTCAGGTCCTCCAGGAATTGGCAGGTGCCACCTGCATTGGGGAGGGCCACCTGCCTTACTCAGTCCACCAGTTCAAATGCTAGTTTCTTCCAGAAATACCCTCAGGACACACCAGAGGTAATGTTTAAGACGTATGGCCTCCCATGGTACAATTAAGGTGACATAAAAGTAACCTTCACAAAAGTCCTATGTTGTCCTGTATATTTTGGCCTCACCTGCATGTCTAGTTTTCCATCTTCTAGTCTCTCTGGGCATTTTTAAAAAAATCTTGAACTTTCCCAGACGTGTGCTGACACAGCATTTTTCACGTACTGTTGCCACCACTGGGATGCTCTTGCCTTCTTATTTGCTAGTTAGCTCCTCCTGCTCATTCTTCAGATTGCAGGTAAGTATTCACTTTTTCATTAAATTGTGCCAGAAGATATCATGTACTCTCATGTTTGGCCCGGACTGAGTGGCTCAGTTGGTTGTAGCATTGTTCTATACAGCCAGAGGCAGGGCACACCTAGGTTGATGGTTCAGTCCCCAGTTGGGATGCATATGGGAGGCAACTGATTGATGTTTTTCTCTCACATCAGTGTCTCTCTCTCTCTCTCTCTCTTTTTCTTTCTCTCTCTCCCTTTCCCTCCTGCAATCATATCCTCAGGTGAAGATTAAAAAAATACTCTTATGTTTGTTCCCATAAAAACCTGTATTTTTGTCACAGAAAGTATTTCAGTTGTAATTTTAGTGGCTGACTTCCTCACTAGAATGTGGGTTTTATGAATATAGTATCAACATCTTATCTACTCACCATTCTATCCCAAATGCCTCATGTGGCCAGCACCAAGTGAGTCCCCAGTCCATGTTCATTCAGTACATGATAAAAAGAAAGAAATAAATACAAGAAGTCTAGGTGTTCTTACTTTTCTTGCCTGGAGAAGGGAAGAGAAAGACACCAACATGCTTTTATGTGCTTGAACATTGCAACAAGCCCAAGAAAGGCTCTGTCATACGTGGTTAGTTAAAGTATCAGTTCAGGTGGACACTGTATTAGTGATGCTCCTTGGGGGTGGGGTGCAAGAGAAGGGCGTGTCTATACTTTTTCCTTTCATCATCGATGTTACCTCCATCCTTAGAGATAGGTGCATTTGTACCTTTTCCTTGAGAATCACTCCATTTTCTACTTTAAGAAACATGGAAAACATGAGAAATTCCAGAACTCCCAAGAGCACGTAGATAAGAGCCATATCAAAAAAGGTGAGCATCATGGCCTTATTGAGGGTAACCAGAACTGGAGGAGACAGGAGCAACTAAGAGGGTGAATGCTGGGACCAAAAGCACTACCATCCAGGTGGGTCAGCATCTGCCATACACTACCTCCCCCTTGTCCATACAGACCCATGGATATTTTCATGTTTAAGCAGTGAGTGAAGGAACTTGGGTCAGAGGGACAGAAGGGCATTCTAGAAGATTGCCCATACCTGAGACACATGGAGAGTACCTATATGCAGAAGACTAATGTGGTCCACCTGCATAATAAGTCATTTGCCATTCTCACAAACTCACCTATTTTGTCCACACCTGCTACCTCATATTGTATACATTAGAAGCCATATGTTCTAATAGGAAATTGTAACTACCAAAAAGAAAGCAGATTGGAGTGTTATGTTAAATATTTTTTTTTAATTTGGAAGATGTATTTGGATATAGCAGTCATAAAATTCAGTTAAGACATACTTCTCAGAGGAGCATACTAGGAGTATCAATCTCAAAGTTTCCACATTTTTTCTGAAAAAAAAAAAAGAAAAAGAAAAAACACAGTATATGTTTATTTAAACCTGAAGGAAATTCCAAATTGCACAGAAGTGAATGAAGTCAGAAGCTAGCAGGAAGCCTGTGCGGGACATTAAAATGATGCTTTGAAAAAGACTGCAAAGGGGTCTAACCCCTGGGAGATCTCAGAAATCTTTAGAAAATATTCACATTCAGAAACCAAGGAAGGTAAGTGCTGTGAGCTCAGATGAGGTGGAGCAGTCTAAGTGTAACAGGGTTCCCAGGAAATAGCACAGCATATTCCCCACAAACCTTGCTTTGGGGGATGGAGTGGACAATACAGTGTTTAAGACACCTTGCAATAACAATGTCAAGTTAATAGCTGTGTTGCTGCCCCGTGCAAAGGTGTATGGGACTTTAAGAACCTATTGTGACTTTGCCCTGGCTGGTGTAGCTCAGCGGATTGATCGCAGGCCTGGGAACCAAACAACCACAGTTCAATTCCCAGTCAGGGCACATGCCTGGGTTGCAGGCCAGTTCCCATCAGGGGAC